ATATATATACACATATGAATATGAATATATATACACATATGAATATGAATATATATACACATATGAATATGAATATATATACACATATGAATATGAATATATATACACATATGAATATGAATATATATACACATATGAATATGAATATATATACACATATGAATATGAATATATATACACATATGAATATGAATATATATACACATATGAATATGAATATATATACACATATGAATATGAATATATATATATATATATATATATATATATATAGTCGTTCGTAGCATGAGTTTTTGTCAGCAGCCATCACTAGAACATTCAGGGTGGTAATTGCATATGTACAACAAAAACATAATTTACATCCCAGAGCTCGAGGCTGTGGGTCAGAAGTCATATGTAGTAGATTTGTTGGGGAAGTGTTGTTGATGAATGCTGGTGTGTTATCTGAGCCTCTTCTCTGCTGAATAGATGGACATGTAGTAGTCATTGCTGCCTACCGCCAAGTGGGGCTGGAGGGAGACAAAGACAGTCTTGTTAATCACAGGTTGAATGATGTGTGTGCGTTCACAAAAACTAAAAAGAGGGTAAAGTGTGTACTGTAGCAAACACAATATGTTGAGAAAATACCATTTAGAATACAGTCCATGTCATTATTTTCTTCACAAATGCAGTGATAGTCTAATGAAGTTTAAAAGCATGCTAATGTAAATGTGAAAGTTAGCTAATGCTAGCTTCAGTGGTAATGAGCAAAAGCAAAAGACCGAAGACCCTGAGCACAGAAAATAATGCGTTTGCTTTCTTTTTTTGGTTTTAATATTGTTCCTATGTTTTTCACTTCCTTATTCAATGTCAATGGGGATATATTGATTTCAGTGGCATTTAAAATACGATTTGGCTATTGAATAATGTGACTAATGATTTCAAATGGCTCTTATACACAATGTTTAACCTTACAGATTACAAATTTGACTGTTTTCTGAGTGCATCTTACTTTTAGACCAGGCGACTAGTCTAAATTGAAACTTATGTTCATCAGGGAAATACGTTGCTGGCAACATCCCGAACCTGAAATATTTAATAACAACTGGCCCAGATGTACGACTGCATGAACACTGCTGTGGCCAGTAAATTGAAGTGTTAGTTTACCCAGTGAGGATGGAAGGCTAAACAGCTGATGGCCCCAATCCTTTGTCCCATGAAGCCGTCATAATACTTTATGTTGCTGATCACATCGCCGTTAGAGTTGTAGACCGCTATGAACTGGTTCATCGACCCACTGGAGAGCAGAGGATGAGAGACAGAGAGATAACATAATATCAATCATACGCTGGGTGTACTGCACGTCAAACATGGGAGAGAAAACACTTTAGATCAGACTAAGACAATGGATCACCGCATTTGTTTTCCTCACTTGCCCCTCTGGGCGTCCGTAGAAGACAGAAAAAGGAAGAATGACCGGATCTGACCTTAATATTGTGGACACTTGAGTTTTTTTTGGGTGCTAAAACTTGCATCTACACATACGAACTCACCAGGCGAACAAGTTGGCCTGTGGGTGTATGTCCAGGGCTGTTAACCCCTTCACTGTCTGCAGCACGTTGATGGAGTCTGGCGCCCGCGGCTCAAAGAACCGAACATCCCCGTTAACACTGGGGAGGAAACAACAAAGTTAGTACAGGCATAAAAAAATCAGTGTGAGTCTTAACAGACAAAGAGAGAGCATACCTGACACTGATAATATGTCCGTCAGTCTCCTTCTGTAGATGAGCTTTGACCACCCAGGCTCCGTGCTCCCTGTAGGTCATCACCCGACTGCAGAAACACACAAAAGACAGAACAAATGTCAGCTAAGGTAACATTTAACAGCGTGTTTCTTCTCTGACAGGAAACACAGGAAAATAACACCGGAGCTGTGAGCCTGTGAACATCAGCTTCAGTATGCTCAGAGAAAACAAATTAAAAACATGAATACAACAATTATAAAGGTGTATCATGAAAACATACTTTGACATTGAATAAGGGAGTGAAAAACATAGGAACAATAATGAAACCAAAAAAAGAAAGCGATGATTATTAAATGATCTGGTTCAACCTTAAAAGGAATTAAAATGGCTACACCAAAAGAGTTGGATTTTATAACACAAATAAACTATGGCCTAAAGTTTCCTAGAAGACTGGAATCATTTGGAGGACTTTTACTTTGGAATGATGAAGTCTGTGCTTTATTTTGAATTGACATACAAGAGGAATTAAACAGTGTCTGGAGCCATTCCTCTTGTATGTCATGCAAAATAGGGCGATAACCTTCTAACCAAGTTAAAGAAAAGCTCAAAGTGAAAAGAAAAAACAGCAGTATAAAGTACAAACGCATGTCTCTTGCTGCTGTAACATGTAATAAAGGTGAAAAACCACTGGGTGGCATCATGGGACCATGACTGAAATAAGCAACCATCTATCGGAGAGACTGAAGTGGTATTACAGCTAAAAACTAGAACCCTACGATCATCTTTTTAGAACTGAGCTGTATTTGAACACCCAATATCCATAATGCACTCTATTAAACTTGATCAAATACATCCTGACTACTGGTGTAACAGGAAGTGGATTTAATCCCCAGAAATATCAAGGACAAACACTAAACATGAATTTACAACAATCAACAGTAATTTCAGATTGTAAGAATCTATTTGTAAACGGCTGCACACACAAGGCATGTAAAACAAAGAATATTCCACACATGATGACCTGTGTGTGTCTGTCTCCTGGTCCAGGACTAATCTCAGGGGGAGCAACATAGTTGTTGAAAGATGTAACTCCATGCCTGAGGGGAACTATTAAATTACTTAAAGATTTATGGGCCACTCTATGGTTTAACTGCTTTGTTTTTGCCCTTTGGGACTGAAATTAAAATAATATTTAACCAACTGGGGCGATACGGTGCCACCAGGGTCCATTAAAAGAGGTGGCTACCCCCAAAGGGAGATTTACAGCACGCTGTATATAATAAGTATAGATTAGAGAGGTGAATAATGTAGGACGATGTAGGAGTTAATGCCCACATAAACTGCTGTGTAGGTGTATTTAAATAGTGGTCAGACAGTAAAAGAAAAAAGAGGTGGGAATTTAAATTGTAAATGAATAATCAATGTAACCTTCTGTGCAATAAAACAATGATATGGTCAGATTGAGAGAGAGAGAGAGAGAGTTCTACCATTCATTTGGACCCATCCTCCTGTCGAATACGCGTACGGATCCGTCACCAAGACCGGCTACGATGAGTGAACGCTGGGAATCACAGGAAAGGCTGGTCACACAGCTGTCTGCTCCGGTTGGGATGTCCTGGTGGACATACAAACACAAGAATCCCCATCAATGGCTTGTAAAGCAAACTACCAAGGTACCACTGTCAATACAACAACTCATTACACATTAAACCTTCTTTGAAATCATCAATCATGTGCTCTGTTTAGTGTTTGAAGCTGGACCCAGCATCAATATGTAGCCACAGGCGAGGTTGGGCCATTTGTGTTTGTATTAGTCCATCCATCAAGACCATGATTAGCGCACTAGGGACCATTAGATGTGTTAAAAACAAAGAAAAAGAGGAAACTGCACTAATGATAGTAGCTCTGCCACAGACTTCCATTAGTGTCCTAAAACAGAGTACAAAGTGCACAATAAATCGAATGTATCGCAGACTTATTCATGTTTTAGTATTTATCATTTATTATTATATCATTCATTTTCCCTGATTTTAGCTTGGACCAGTTTAACTTGAAGTGTGACCACCTTTTATACAGAAATACATACATTCAGCGTGCTGCTCCACCTTCAGTCCAGCGTTGAATTACATGTTGTAAAGTCAAATGCTATCCAACACTACAAAAGAATATTTTCCTTTTCAAGGATTCCAATATTGCACATTATTCTGATAATGTTGACGACATCTTAAGAAGGATCAGCATTCTGAGCTCTACTTTTTAGCTTCAGCTTTACTTATGCTGTGTTTGAAGTTTAATGCTATTGTAGCGGTGTACAGAACGGTCACAGTGGCTCAATTTGGTGCTACACATTTAAGATGTTCTGCAAAATGCGAAAAATACCGGCAAAGCAGCGAGGCAAAGCTCTGCTCCCGGCCAGAGGAAGAGCCGCTGCTGTTGAGCTCTCCATCTCCCACCAGAGCGCAGAACCTTCGTGCCGTAAATCGCTTTGTCCGATTTCGCATTGATTCGGATCCGATGACACGCATCCAGAATAACAATATAGAAATAGCCAATCTTCTCGCTGATGGTGTGGTTTACTTATATAGGTCATATAGAGCTATCAGTATTACATTGAGACTGTTTCATAACCAGCTAAATCCTGTTGTAGTAGCTTTAAGCTGATAAATCAAGTCAATGGATCTTCGAAGTAATCTTCTGGGGACTGACACACAAACCCAATCAGAATTTAAGCCACGGCAGTGGCAGGGTCATATTTCAAAATGAGTCATAACTTCATCAAATGCCTCTACTTAAAAAAGTTCACCTGTTTTATTGAAGAGCATTTTTGGCGGCAACTCATTGAGTTTTGGTAACAGAACCTGGCTGCAAAACCCAACTCTTTTCAGATTGTTCTTTACAGAATAAATCAAACTGGAGGAGAGACTATAAGGAAAGTAGACAGCAACCATTTGCCAACACAATAAAACCTCAATTTGTTAGTCCCTTCATTGTTATAGGATTGATTCATCAAACACAAGGATCTTTAGAAACTGACTTACAAGGCCTGAATGTCACGTTTCTCACCAGCAAATACACAGTTCCAAGTTCCAGCTGTATTCATTGTGAGCTTTTGGAGAAAATCAGACTTGCAACCAGATGCACCGAGTACAATACCTGGACCTTCATCTCCCTGTCGGTGTCCCAGATCCTTACGACTCGGACATCTCCAGACGTCATGAGGAGACCCGTCTCCTGCTCCCAGTCAACGACCATGCCTGCACCTACAGCACACGATGACACAGCAGTTTCAATGCAGATGAACATATATGAACACATAAACCAGTGCTGTGTGTTGTTATTGGACCGATATCAGGTCCTTCAAATAAAACCAAACAGAAGACGTAACATTTTTTTTAATAATAATACTGAAGAAAGTTTCAAAAGGTGCCCAATAGCTGAAATATGAGCATAAAATATTAAATTACTGAGAATAATTTGTGTGAATATGTGAACAGCAGTATTAATTTACGTTTTTTTAACCGAGTAAATTTTATTCATAAGTGAACTCAAACCCACACAAACAGCTGTTAAAAACACCGAGCATGTGTTGATCCCGCTAATACACAACACACACAATCTGTCGGGGTTTCAGAAGGCTCATGCTGTCACATGTAGCAAGTCAAATGATGGATTAGTGCAACGCAAAGAATTGAGCCGAGACTGCAAGTGAATAAATAATAACTTTTTAAGTCAACTTATAAAGTTATATATCAAACATTGTCACAAAGTCAATGTTTCTGATAAACGTCCCTTATTCCTTAGTGTATAAACGTGCAGTTTATGCAGATGGAAGCATTGTTTAGCATTTTGCATCCTTCCCATCGAGACGACCAGGGGGAGACGCAGATACTGACCCTGGAGCAGAGCCTGTCAGCAGATTCTGGCTTAGATGAGTCAAATGGCACTCAAGTGACAAAGTGAGGAGGGAAGAAGCTGAAGACAGCAAGACTCTTCGGGTGTTGGCAGTCATAGCAGGAATCAAGCGGGCAGTGCCATGTCACACTTGCCCTGCTGGCTCAGTGATGCCTGGCAGAGGCCTGTGCCTGCAGCCTAAGGACATCCTTACGCTTAAAATAAAGTGTTGATGTATTTAAGATTAGCGTCTGAAACGCCCTGGCACCACAACTGTCTAATGTTGGACGTCTGTTACCGGGCACGATCTCCCGGGAAAATGAAGGCTCCATTCACGGCAAAAAGTAAGTGAGTTAATCATTTGGCACAACCAAAACAGGAATAGGAAAATGCTTTTGTTTTCCCCTGATATCTATCGGTAGCTATCTCCAGGTGGGCCAACCTGAATAAGTGTGGAAACAATAGCTGGCAAGTTGATGAAGGCGAAGAAGAAGAGGCATTCACTCAATGAAGAGAGCTCCAGGACTTGAGAGGTTTTCGAACAGCCATTCAGTTGGCATTCAATCTACTAGAAGTAATAAAAGGTTGTCTTTGCGACAGTAACGCCAACAATAAAAACATTCAGAAACGCTAAGGGAACAGACGAAAAGGTGTCCGTTTCCACTTTCAGCTCACTTTATTCATTCTTCACACAATCCCTTTTGTTTGTATCGTACCACAGAGGGCAACACTCACTATGAATGTCTTTGAGGAGGCATGGTCTGAAAGTGTGCACCCTTATCCCCATCTGTACAATTCATCACATCCTGCCCCCTCCATCAGTGAAAACCCTCTGTAGGTGAACAGATCGCGTGACAAAGCTTCGACCACTTTTTGCTCGTTGCATTGCTGTTGGGCCCATTAACACTTACAAGCTGGCGAGTAGCTGAGTTGTTGAAAAATGATGCAAGTGAGCAACCTACAACATCCTCCAACAAGCTAGAAAGGCTACAGAAACAGCATCCTTTCCCCTCCTCTTTAAAGTCATTACGCCATGCTTCATCTCCTCCCCTTCATCCTCCTCCTCTCTGAGTCACTTCCTCCTCCTGTTTTTTCACAATCGATAATCAGCTCCAGCTCACCCACATATGTCACCACCTTGCTTCATACATTCTTAAACCCAGTGTCTTTTCATCCTAATTGGCTCGTTTCACACAATTTTGAAGTGAAGAGCGAAGGAAAAGGACTCCATCTCTTTGCTCTTCGCTCTACAACAATAGTGAACCTTTGCATCATTTGTGATCCTGTCCAACTCCGTGTGCCTAATTTATGAGTCGATCACTTTCTTCCACTCAACCATCTGTGTTGGGCTTTCCACTGTGCTACTTGGCTTGGGTTGTCGGGAGAACCCAGGCCCCAGGGGGCGGCTTCACATCCTTCACTGTGACGTCATCGTGCTCGCTCAGGCGGCACGCCGTCACACTGCCGGTAGCGCAGGCACATGGGAAAACCACTTTCACAGGACTGCGCTCATTTAGTGACACGATCGCAGTCACACGCTTGATGCTGGCTCATTTTAGAAGCTGTGAGAAGAGAGGGGGCATTCCCTTTGAAGCTGGCAGCTCTGGGATGAGGAAATCTGGGTTACAATGAGAGAGGGGAGGAGAACGGAGATTCCCCCAACACATGAAGGCGTGTGCATGTATTTCCTCTAAAATAAGGAGCACACGTGACACCAAACCTTCGCAGGATTAAGATTCAGTTTGATCCGTCTTTATGTTCCCGTGTCATCCCATCCCATGATGAGAAATCAATCGTGGATAAATATAAAGTGCATGAGTGAAGATCCCCACAAGACTAAGTACTGTAATGGTCTAATTGTCTCTGTGTTTTTGTTTCTATCTTAAGCATTGCCAGATGGACCTGCTCAGTTGCCCTGGAGCACAAATAAGATGCTGGGCCCCTACAGACCCTTTCTTCCTTCCACTGTTTGGTTTGTGGTACAAGGTGCACTTAATGTGGGATGTTAAGGTGGACCGGCTATTCTCATTTCAGTGACTAACCGCTCCTCTGAGACTTGCTCAGCGCAACACGGACCCTTGGCTGCCAGGACTAACAACTTTTCTGGCGGAAACGCTGCAGTTGATGCTGTGCTTCAATGGTGCATAAGAAATGGTCCATTATGTTTGCACAAACCAGTTGACACACAGTAAGCCTTGGGCTTATGGGCTCCTGGAGTTCTGGGGGTCAGGATACTTGCCCCCTTAGCCCATTTCAGCCTTTCCATTCCTCTCTGGATCTCCATCCAGCCCTTCTTCTCACACCAAACTCACTTCATCCCAACTCTTTACTTCATTATTTTCTCCTCTTCCCTTCTCTACTCCCAGCAGAGAACTCAAATCAAAAGCAGTTTGCTGGGAGTTCAGGGGGTCATAGCTCACAAATCTGCAACCTTAAACCCCACCCTTCAGTTTTATATCACACGGTCAACACTCAGCTCAGCTGCTCGAACCGGGATACAATTCTGCCTTAGAGGAAACCTTTGTGGGCCTGAGCAGGTCTTAGCTACCCACACAGAAATCAATAGGGACATGGAGAATAGGGATGTGAGAAGGAGCAAAGTAGTGTGGGCAATGTTTCCTCATCTGTACATCTTACCACCTTACAGAGGTGGAGGTATAGATAGCTTAGATTTAGATTCTCACTTCATGCCTAGTCTCTTTCACTTGATTCTTGAGATCAAATGTTCTCCCAGTAATGGTAACAAGTAATGGTATTGTTCACTGAATGGCTTTTCCTTTGATGAATCTTAAACAAGGGGGGGAGCTACTTTTAACACCACTAACAGTCGTGGTAGATCATCTTGTTCCTGTGCCAGTGAGCCAGCACAATCTAACCTAATTTTAGACATATCTATCTATTCCTTTGCATAAGTACCATAGTTTCACTCCTCTTTCTCTCTGGAAAAGACGCTGTCCTCTCCTTATTCTATGCGGTTATCCTCATTGATGAACTAGCTCTCCCCCACACTGCAGCTCATTAACCCAGTGCTGCGGCCTTTCTGGTTCTTCTCCCCCCTGAGAGTCATCCCCTCTCTTCCCTGCATCATGTTTGCTTTGAAAAGGTCCTCCAGGACTCCGGTAATAAACCGTCTCCAGGATTACCAGGGCCTTGCCCGGCATGCATGTGCCTCTAAGAGAAGGTGATGTTATCTATGTAAATGCTCTGTCCGGCCGTGCATGATCAGTTGGTCATCATAACCTTTGAAGGCCGAGGCTTGACATTTGGGGAGGTAAAAAGCTTTGACCTGCCTTGTTGACAAAGACCTTGTGAAATGAGGCATAACCTACATGACATTAGCACTGTCAATAATCTACTTGGTGTTATTCTTAGATCTTCCCAGTAAATGCTGAAGGCCAAAAAATTGTGTGCCTTGAGGCTTTTTGTCTCATTTCCCTGAAACCTCCAAGTCATGTGCCTCTCTCTAACTTCATACTGAGACCCGAGCTCTGGATTTAGCAAGTTCTCAGAGCCCCAATGTTAACAAGGCAAAAAGGCAGTGCAGCCAAATATAGTACAGGACACATCGTCTGCCTTTCTAAAGCCAAAGAAGAGAGGGCTGCCCGACTTTCACTTATGCAACCAAAAGAAAAGGGACGTAGAGGAAAAACCCTAATATTGAGCGACTGCAGGGGTAGGAATGAGTCGAGGGACGGAGGTAAATGAAGAACATTATTAACAGTATTATAATCAGAATTTAATAAGATTGACTCTCAATCTAATCTGTAGAGATGTGAAGTGTGCTGTTCTGTGCAGTAGCCGCAGGAATAGTTTCTCCAGTCTCTGCCAGCCATGGTCCCCTAATTTCACCAGTTCCCCTGGAGTTTAACAGGCAAATCCCTCCAGCGAGACGGACTGGGTGGCTCTATGCTATTAGAATCACAAAGCACTGACACACTCCCAATTATGGAGTCTGTTTGAAGAAAGACCTCTGCCTCACCAAAGGCAAAAGCCAAAGGTAAAAGCTCCTTCTTTAAATAAGCATCTACTTGAATGTTGTTTGGTTTGTGGATATAAGCCAAATTGCAAATTTTCACTGCAACTGGACAGATCGCCCAAAACAGCTATTGTACAATAATAGCATAGCAGCAGTATCTGGGCACGGCAGGTTTGTCCGGTTGGGGCGTTCTCCACAAGTGTAAGAAATAGACCAGACAGTGTGTTTGTCCTCTCTAATGTAAGCTGCAAATGTTAGCATGTACCTACAGTATAGGGCGACCAGATGAGAATGGGTGAAATTAGGCAAAGGGGAGTCAAGGGTGGGCATGGCCTCCAGTACATTACATACAGTGTCAACAAACAGTATTAATAATAATAATAATACTAGTATTCTTTCCTGCAGACTTTGCAAAACATCTGGATATCGTAAGGCTGCAATGATCCATGGATAGTTCCCTCCCAACTTTTCCAAGTAACTGCAGTGACGTTTTTGCTTTTTGACTGGATGTTCATCGGGCTCCATGTCAGTGATGGATGTTTTAATTCCCCTCTGTAAATGTTTTAATTCAACAACGTCATAGCTACGCATAGTTATTCATCAATTCGCTGCACTACTGAACACGGCACAAAAAACCCTCTACCAGCCATAATTTATGTAAACTGGAGACATAACAGTACCCAGCTGTAGGAAACAGCAAAATAATGTTTTACAACGATGAGTATTTAATGTTTTACTATGCTATAACTATTTAAAACCTTGGATTCAGGACAACTGCTTGTAATTTGGGACTGTCCCAAATTGTTAAGTGCGTCTGGTCACCCTACTGCAGTATTAACATAATGTTACTCTGAAAACGTACAGTTTGAAAAATACAAACAAGTATGTGAAGTTGTGATCAAGAATTGAGTGTTAACTTTGCCGCCATTATCAATGTAAACTGCACACAGTTAGTGTCATACTAGAATTGAAAGCTAGACAGGTATAACAACAGTAATTAAAGGGAGCAGAGCTTAGCATTGTATTAGTTACAAGAACAGCGTGTCCTACTTTCAACTTTGGGAGGACTGCCAGGGATGAAGTGATGGAGCATCACCGGACAAATGAAGGGATTAGGGGTCAGGGGATAAAAGAAAACAAAAAAAGAGGCACACTGCCGGCTATTTAGTGCAGCACCTTAGCTCTGGTGTGAAAGAGTAGAGAAGAGGATGGCGTCACTCACCTCCTTGTTTACTCCTGTCAAGATAGATGGAGACCCTTCTGGCCATACCTGCGAGCAGGGGAAGGGGGCAAACGGAAAGAGGGAAAAAGGCAGGGAGGAAGGAGAGCAGCAATGCAAGCGACACATTAGCAAGGACCCCCCCATGCATGCGGACCAACACAATCTTACACACACTTAAAAGTAAGACTTCAGGAGTATACGTCACATGCAGTCAAACAGCAGAGGGATGAACAAGGCTGCTTTTTCTCATAGTGGCATCTCCAAAATGATTAACAGTGATATGTGCGGATCAAAGCGCGAGGGAGGCAAGAGCTGACTCTCTGCCTCTGCATTACAAACAGCGGCTGTGGAGGCTGCACAGGGTGCACAACCTCCAAGTCTGCAGGACACCGAATATTTTCTCCACAGACTACAAAGCAGGCAGGGTGGAGTCGCTGCTTAACTCTGTGTGTATATGTGCAAAAGACATCGTGAAATAATTCAACTGGGTTGAAGGTGTGTGTGATTAAATAAATCCATTAATTTGATCACACAAAATGACGAGATTTGTTCTGGAGGTCAAAAAGAAAACTGCTTGGTTGCCTTGTTCAGCCTCTCTCGAGACGAGGGAAAAAACACAAAACAATGTCAGAGAACCAGAAAAGTAACAACAAGCCAGACAAACACAGTCTACAGAGATGGTTCACTGATGAGGAACAGTACAAAAGCCTGTTGTTGTACAACAGGGATGGGATGAGTGAGGACAGGTGGTGTAGGGACTGGTGTGTGTGTGTGTGTGTGTGTGTGTGTGTGTGTGTGTCCGCGTCTTCTTGAGAAACGTTCAGTCTTGTAGCAACAACAACCTACAGAGGTAGAGTCGTTTTTTGGCAGCACAAAGACATACTTGTGTAATATTTCATTGGGTTTTACATTATTAATGCCACTGAGGCAATGCTAAAAATCGAAAAGTTTCCCAACAGAATATAATTACAGTACTTTATCTGGAAGACATTCCAAGCAATGGTAATATCACTTAACTGAATATTGGGTCAGTAGGGAAAGTGGTGTATGACTGCAATAGGGGAAACTGTGTGTGTGTGGGTGTGTGAGAGTGAGAGAGAATAAGAGAGCAGATGTTTTTGAAGTTTCTTGCCAAGTAAAAAAAGAACACCACAAGTTGAAGCTGGACTCTTCAGTAAAACTTTACTAGGAAAGCTCTCGGTGGAGTGGCTGTTCAAATAAAAATTGATGCCTCCACTGTAGTCTGAATGCAGAGCCAACACTGTCACTAAAAACACATCCAGGAAAGCAAGCACATCATTAAATGTTACAGTCTGAGTGAAAACAAGGCTGTGGCTCACTGCGGGAGAGTCCCCTTCAGGGGAAGAGTCTCTCATGGGAATTCAGATGGACAGTGATGCTAGTTAAGTGTGTCGCCTCTTTGGAGGTCCCAACAGTGCAGTGATACTGCAGCTTTGCAATGATGGAGACACATATGTGCACACAGTGTGTGGTCCACTCCTCTGCACAGAGTTATGAATTATGGAAGTGTGTCAACACAGAACGTAAACATGGCAACGTCCACAGTCCAAAATGATTCATTAAATTTAAGCAACAGAGACAACCCCCTGACCAAAAACCTACCATTTTAAGATTAATATTGTGTTTTAAATACACTTTGAATGTCAACTTTCCTCCATCTTTGTAAGATATGACAGATATTTCATGAATATCACATATGTGACAGAGTAAGACAGGCGAGGCTGAGAACTGGCCTTCAGTTTGTGTTACATTAGTTTTGAGTGATGGAACCTGACTCACAATCCAAAATATGCAACAGTGTGGAAGTTGAACTCTGGTTTCAGTTTCCATTTCATTACATCAGGTCAAATCAATTATTGTAAGGACCATATGTGACACTCTCCTGGATTTGGCTTCATGACAATGACATTTTCCTTCTTTTTTTTGCATCACTCTGGGCAATTTCAGCATCAAAATGTGTTACTATTAAAAGTCCACATCTATGGTAATGAGGACATATGCTTTGCTATTGCAGCGAGTGAGCATTATACTTTTGGCTGGGTTTGATAGGGTTAGTGATCTCTTCCAATGACTCCATAATTACTGTGCCCTGCGTTGAAGTTTTTGCCACTCAAAAACTCTCATTAGTGTCACCTTTTACTCCGAGAGTAAATTCTGACTTTAAAAACACCAAACTCTATGACAGATATCTGCTTATGGATGCAGAATCTGCAGGCAATGGAACCAGATTTTGATATCGGAGGCATTCTTGTTTACGTTTGTAGTCTGTGTCGCACGCAGGCAAACAGTCCGTGCATTGGTCCAAATGCGATCTCGGCTATGGTCCGACGATGATTTAACTTTTCATTAGCTTTTTGAAATAATTTATCTGCATTCATAAGCAGATGCATATCTGTTTAAAGAGATGAGCCGTAGACGTTGCCTCTCAATTCTAACTCCACTCTCATGTCTCAAGTTGCTAATCAGATGTTTTTTAGGCTTTATGCTGTTGTACCACAACGTCGTAGAGGGATCTTGTGGTTTTAACTTACATAAGCTTCTTTAAAGTAACAGAAATTAAGGATGTTTAATAATGGACTTTGTTTTTCATAGTGGTTAGTGGATTATAATTCCCATAACTGTGACACATTATACTCTTTTTATAATGCATTATAATGTTGTTATAAGTAGTTACTTGTAGTTACTTTTCTTTTAGTAAAATAAATTTATTTCAATATATTTAATGGTATTTTTGTATTTTACTTAAAGGAATACTTCAGCCACAGTAACTTATAACATTACAATGCAATATAAAAAGATTATAATGTATCAAAACTATGGGAATTATTATACACTATGATCCATTGAGTGACCATTAATCATGATTATGATACTTGACCTACTAAGTCATTGTTAATAAGTGTACAACTATGATTATATAGTGCTACAAGCAGATTATAACACATAAGTATATGTATGTTTATAATGCAATAAATAGAAAGTGTTACTTCACTGTCTGCTTATATAGTCCACAAAGCTACTGCAGTTAAAAGTTGAGGCACTCAAAACTGATGCCATCTGGCTGCTCTGTGTGTGTGGAGGAGTGGACGTGTGACTGGGAGGGGTGAACAGTGGGGCAGTCGGCGAGTTACTACAGGCATGTACAGTGGGAGTATGGGTGGGTGGACGGTAAAATAGAGTGTTGATCTTTACTGTGAGCGCTGGTGGTGGGCTGACCTCTGGTAGTGGGCAGCATGTCCGAGAGGCCCTGCCACGCCGTCACCATCTCTGGGTTCTTCTGGTCGGCAAAGTTCTTCCAAATACGTAGCGCTCCATCGTCTGGAGAGGGGATGGGTGTGGGGGGGGGGGGGGCATAGAGGCAGAGAGATACAGAGAGGGAAGTTAAGAGTCAGAAAACAAATATGGATAAAGAGATACAGTGAGGAGCAAAGGCTAAGGCCAGAAGGAGGTGCAGCACACTCTTTTGTATTCTTAATGGATTTGGAAGTGCATGGTGAACATGTGCAGGAGATTTAATGAAAACCTTGAAGACTTTTTCAAAGTATGCAACACACAGAATGACTTGAAAATGAACACACACAAACACACACTTCTCAAAAGAATCAATAGAGAATGTAGAGCAGCATCTTAAAAGGCTTATTGCCTGAAAGCGTCTCTTCAGTATGAAACAAAGTGAGGAGTCTCTAACCTTACAAACCTGTCTGAACAGCGTAGCTACAGTAAGACACGGAGCTAAACATAAAACATGTCCATGTACTCTTAAGAGAGCGCTATTGCAACCCGTAAAAGCCTCCACTCGATTTACATTCCGTGTTTTACTCTTTTAACGCTGTACATTTTCTACACGTGCACATTACATTTTGATGAGATCTAAATGTATTAACCCCAGGGCTTTATCAGGTTTAAATAAATGTGCATTTCTGTGTGTCTTAATCTAGAATTGTTTTCTACAGTTCCTCTGGGTTGCGATGGTAAAAGCCATGGGGGGGGGTAATTGCTTTGTTCTGTTGATGAATGATGATGAATACACACGAGTGCAGCTTTGGGCGTGTGTGTGTTTTCGTGGGTGAGAGTCAAGTGTTTAAGGCTCGTTGCCACTACAAATGAGTCTCGTTGAGATTTCCACTGTGCTGGTGGGCGCACACATTTAAGCTGCTCACTCAAGGAAAATATTACAAATGATGAACTTTAATCTGTACTCGTTGCAGTTCTCTGAGTCTTCTGCATGAGTGTGTTTCACACCTGTTGCAGTGAGCAGTAATGAACAGTCGTGTCCGTTCAGGTACTCCATGGCTGTGATGCGAGTGTACCGAGGGTTTCCGTTGTAGAAGTAGTCCAACCTCTCGCCCTTCTCCCAGTCCCAGAAACTACAGCAAACACACACACATGCACTCTAATTAATGATTCGATCTGTTTTACATGTAAGACCGTCGAGTATGAAACTCAACTATTTGCAGAATGGTCTTCAAGCTGATTTGTTGTTTTTCATTCTGTGTTCTCTGACCAGATGCTGTCTTTGTCAGCCACAGCGATGCAGGTGTTGAAGGGGTGAAACTTCACAACAGATGGTACTCCAGGGTTGCGGTTGATGAATATTTGATCATCCAGACGGGAAACACCTGTAATAGGGGGGACAAGCCAGAATGGAAAAGGAGTTCTTGAAACTGGAAAATCCCAGGTTAGATTTCTGTTGAACCTGTGAAATCTTTCAGCTTTGACACAAGAGGCTCTTACAAAAATTTAACAAAAATAATCTTTTCTACCCTTTTGAGAGTATGTACTGCTTCCAGAATATAGCCACAACCTCACACTCCGAGTCCAACACTGAGGAAAGCTCTCATCTCTTGCGTACTCTGCTTTTGGATATTACCAAGTTATCCGTTGTTCATGGTAAAGATGTAAATATTTACTGTGAATACATGTTTTCCTTTTTGAAAAGGCCTCAGTAATTTCCTCAAACAGCTGGGTGCTGAAGTTTTTTATTTTGGACTGGGGAGTTTCACCTGTGGATTATTAGATTAGTTGTTGTGCTAGTGGGTATTTCAGGCAACAGGGTGGTGTATGTGGGACTAAGTTAAAACAACTACAGTGCCCATATTGATGGTATGAAAGAATATGTCATCCAGTCCAACAGTGCGTTTCATCTGTTTGTGGACAACAAAGGTGCTCTATGGCACACAAGACAATAGACGTAATGATTTTGGTCTTTTTGTTAACAATGAAGAATGCTCTGCAGCAGTATAGACTGTTTCTAAAATCCCTCCCTATTTACTAGATACCAAGGGTGAACCCGAATAGTCAAATATTCAACGATTTGCTCTCAGAAGCCTGATTCGGCTGTCAATCTCACGGTTGAATCGTTGCAGAGACGGGAATCAAAGAATACTTTATAATTCATAAATAACGATTAGGCCTACATTTGTTCATGAAAACACTCACATAAGAACATAGATTCAGCTGGGGGAGGCGCATTGGTCTATAAAAGCTGTTAGTCTTGCGTCTCTCTTATTAGAAATACATTTGTGATAAGTCAAAAACAAACGTAATCTAGGGTATTTGTAGCTGTATATATTGACAGGACAGAACTAAGTAGCAACCAGGCCTTTATAAGAGCATTTTAAAACCAGAACATGCTGGAATGAATGACTGCGTATCGATAAAAAGAAAGTTTTACAGCATTGTAAGGTTACAAAATAGTAATTGTAGGACTTGAGGCAAAGCAAGAGAAACAAAACATCCATGGTTCAAAGCCAGAAGAAAAAGTCTGTTAGTCTACCTCTTTGTCAGATTTTAATGGAGTATATAATACACTGCCAACGCACACAGATACCAACTAAAAAGAAATTCACTGCCTCACCATATGTTGTCATGGCAACAACACATGCCGTTACCACAAGCCTGTCCTTGGCTACCTGAGCACACTCTAGAGGCATAATGAGATGAAAAAAAAGTGAGGAGGAATCCATCATGAATTCATCACTGATGTGTTGGGGAGAAAGCTGAGGCCTTTGGTTAAAAGATGAGCAAGATCATCACCATCGATTTGCTTTTGTTCGTGCTGTTTGACGGCACATTCAATATGGAACTACTGAAACTACCCGAGGACTTTCAAACTGCGTGGTGATGTGTGTGCATTTCTCAAATCACAAACGACCAAATCAGGTTTACAAGCCAAAATATATCTTGACCACTTTTTTTTTTTCTTCTCATGTTTTTAGCTTCCCTGCCTCCGTCTCGCCTCCTCCGTCCTCAGCCTTCTTTGCCCTCCATCCCACCCTCCCTCCTCCTCCTCTCATCTCATTTCTCTCTGGAGTGAACAGACTGAATGAGGGCAACCCTACTATTTCTATCTCTTTCAAAAAAAACAAACTGTGAGTATAGAGGGGATTTCAATGATTTAGCAAGCGGACACGTGCGAGCGCAAGCCTCAGCTCTGACGCCAATCTCCTCGTGACTCTGCGTGTGTGTGTGCGGAGGGGGCTGCGAATGACGTTGGAGGTGTTAGCTATTCTGTTTGAGAGGCTCTGACTTCACCTGGGGAGTCTGTGTGTGTGCTGACACCCTGTGGCTTTATAGGGTGTGGGTTTCTGGGTTTAAGTTTGAGTGTGTGTGAGGGGAGTCCTGTGACTCATAAAGGGGACTATGGATGTCTCACATGTCTAAAACAAAGCTGCACCATCTACACCTACCGTGTGTCTCAGTCGGTCCTTTTCTGGACAGTCTGGATTTTTACCAAACTCTCATCAAGGCTACAAAAACATTCCATTAAACATGATCCTAGCAAAATGTCATTGCTCATGCTCTGTAATCTTAGCACTACATTTGACACTGCTGGTGACAGAGCTACTAATCAGAAAGGACTGTTCCAAAATGATAAGAATCCTATCCTCTAAGACAGGGACTATTTTCCCATGCGATTTGGGAAAATGTTGGTTTTGCAACAACCTCTGCAAACATGTAGTCCAGGCAAAATATTCTAACACTACTCATTAGCACAACATTTGCGATTAGACCAATCTGCTGAGCATGCTTGAGTCCCTCAAGGTTTCATTCTTGGACCGGTAGAAAAATAACCATCCGCCAAAATATTGTCTATTGGTAGCATTAATATAACAAGCCTATGGTATTTCACAAAATAACATTAGTTGAGTCCCACTGTGCACATCATGTCTGTGTGTGTGTGTGTGTGTGTGTGTGTGTGTGTGTGTGTGTGTGTGTGTGTGTGTGTGTGTGTGTGTGTCACTAACCCTTTTGTGTGATGCATCGGCTCTGTTTTCTCACGCGAGTGTTTCTCAAGAACCTCCATTGCCGCTCCATCCTCACCTGACTCTCCACGTCATGCTCCTCTGGGATCTGAAAGAGTGAATTCAAAAAAGGACGGAGAGAGATTCACCTGATCAATCCACTTGGAACATTTGTAGGAAAAAGCATATGATTTAAATACATTGCACCCTCATTGCAAATACAGTTTTATATAAAGTTTAAGATAAATACTTGGGTTACTCGAGATACAAACAGACTTTGTTGTGAGCAGTTAAGGTCTGAGGATTATCTTGAGTAACCAGGTCATCATTTCTGGAAAGAGACATTGCTCTTGAGTTTTTGAAATTTATTTTTCCGGTGCGTTGAGCTCCACAAGCCGAGTGCCATATTAGCGGCAGACATCTTTACAGCTGATCTCTTCAAAACTACGCAACTCACACTAAAACAATTTAGATAGGTACTTCGCACTATAGGTGAGAGGGAGAATATGTATTTCTGATTTTGGAGTGAACTGTTCCTTTAACACATGTATTGAATGAATTTCCCTCCGTCATTTTGAAACCTGCATGGTTTACATCGGCCAGCAGTCGTCTCCTTCTCTGCCTTTTTCTGGTGCGTTGCTATGTTACTTGGCTTGTTACTGCCACCAACTGCTGACAAGTGGAAAAGCTTAAAATCAGCAGAAATGTGTATCGCTTGTACCAGCGTATGCTTGTGTCAGTGCTACAATATACAAACCAATTGGGACCAATAGGGGTCGAAAACTTTAAAGGAAAGCTTCGACATTCCTTTCATCAATATAGTGGGAAATGTGATTATTTGATTTTTTTTTCATCCTGTAACAAGTGGGATTGTGTATGGAGCAAACAAATGAGATACAAGATGGTAATTAGTGAGCTCTAGAGGTGTTGGTGGGTGTTTTGACTTAACACAAAACACACAGACACAAGATGTCATGTTACAAATCATGTAAGCATATTCCTCGAAAGGTTGAAATACTCCTTTAAGCCTTAGACCAGTTCCAGGTCACCGCATGCTCTCAGACGGCACCAGTAGGTTTATTGATAATACAAATGTTACCAACTTGTCACATTACAGGCCTGATAACTTTGCTAACTACAATGTAAAGTGAAGCTCACACTGTTACTCAGGTAATGAGTCCAGTCATCAAGTTCACTTTGTTCAATTACATCTGATCACATCTGTTGAGCTGAGGGACGATATTAAAAAGTATTAACTTTGTGACAAAATGCCCCCCAGAGATTTGGTCCCAGCATTATTTTAATGACTCTCTTTTTAACATGACATTCAATATGCAGGATGTATAGGATTTTTCAGTTCAAAGTATTAAAAGCGTAAATTAAAACTTTATATTACTTTGCTATTATGTGCATATTTGACAGATGAATAAATAAACAGAGTGTAAACAACGGAGAAAAAAGTGTGTGTGTGTTTAAGAGCTGGTTGCCAGTGTGTGCTTATTAAGCACATTTCTACAAGGTATCCAACACCCACTGAATGCTAAACAGCTTGACGCGCGCGCACACGCACACACACACACACACACACACACACACACACACACACACACACACAGTGTGTAATCAATATTCATGTATGTCCTTGCTCTGCTTATGTTGCTTTAAGGGAAACAACAAACATGTTAATACCTCTGAATGGAGATTGTGAGTGCTGTCAAGTCAGGTTCATCTGTATATCACATGCAGTGTCTCTAATTATGGTTCCTGACTGCGCCTGTGAGGAGGCAGCTATTATCACAGTAAAGAGTGTGTGTGTGTGTGTGTGTGTGTGTCTATATTGTAGTTCCCAGGGTTGTGGCCCTTCCCTGGTGATCCATTTTCCAATTCTGATCTAAATAGTTTTATCTCCTATGTTTATGAATTAAGAACAGGTGAAAAAATGTTTTTGCCGGGATAATTTTGTTTTGGTTGGTAAAAAAAAAAAAAAAGGTTTATCAGGAGGATTTTGAAAGAGCATGTTTGGATTTCAACTGGCAAAAAAGGTTTCTATATATTTCCAAAGAATGTAGTTGATCCTCCTGATGATCCAACGCTGTGTTCACACACACAGATACTGCTTAGTAAGCAGCAGTTCACTACTACATTGTTACTGCAGACAAAAAAATAATGTGATTGGTTTTCTCCTGGTCGTCGCTCACATAGCGCCAGAACTTATTTGCATGGACAGGGCTGACCCCATACTATTGGTCAACTGTGTTTGTAACCACTGCTCTTGCTCTCTCCTTAACTTTGTCTCTCTCAAATATTAACCTGTAGCTTTAAACATCTTTTTAAATCACACTCTCATGTGAATAGAGTCTTCACTGACCTTGCTCCTCACACACCCCTAAAGTTGTAGGTGGGGATACACTCTCTCTGAAACACCCACACACACATTTTGCTCTCATGCTGCTGACACAGTGATATGATAACCCGTGTGCAGACTTTGATACTCAGTCACACACACACACACACACATCTTTGTAATGGAGGGGAGTTTTATGGCAGCACTCAACATTTTGCCAACACAGCATTCTGATTCACGCTACGGCAAAACTCTTCTCCTCTCCGGCTGCTCTTTCACTCATTCTTCTCTCTTCCCATCCAGTCATCTCACTTTCATCTTGCCTTGCTCTTTATGAGTTTTACTTCACTTCACTTTCAACACCTCTGTTTTTCTCTCTCCCACATAGTCCTTCCACCTCTGTCTGTATTATCTCTTTTCAAATATAATATTTTCATCATCTATTACTTTTTTCTTTTTTGCTCTCTCTCTATCTCCTTCACTCCTCTATTTGCCCCAAATCTCTTTGTGTTGTAAATATTTTATTTGACTAAAATCTACTTTTCTCTTCACTTTCTTTCTGTATCAGCCACTTTGTCTCCAACGCACACATACATTTCATATACTTGTGTTCCTTATTATTCTTCCTCCAATCCCAAAACTTCTATTTTTTCATCTATTTGACCCTTAAACTTGACTCTTTTTAAAATAAATCCCCCCTTCTTTGTTAAATCTCAACAAAATGTGCTGACACCATTTGTTTTACCTCTTTTTTTGCAGGGAGGATGGCATGTTGAGGCTGTTATAACAGCCTGATTTAATATTACAAAACCTCTGCACCAACTACTGTGCACGGTAAAAAGCACTTCTTTTAATCTTAAATTTCCCTCTGGAGGATGTTAAGTCATGGATCTCAGAGAGCTCAATTATTCAGCTAAGCCATCTTGTACAAGCAGCAGGTACTATCTCACACTGCGAATGGTCCCTCACCTGCTGTTTCCCATACGCTGTTCTTTAACAGTTCATGTGAAAACTGATATTACCTGTCATAGTACTTTTGTGTTGCTTAGCAACCACCCTAAGCTGCTGTTAAAGAACTAGATTGCTTGGCGAAGGAAGAATAAGAATAAAATGTTTTTAAATTATTCATTAAAGAAAGTGACTAATGTGTATAAATGCAGGGATTTTATCAAAGCAATAACTCAACTAGCATGTTGTTTAAGCCTCTGCGTGGAGCCCAGTGAAGTAATACCTTGAGGTTCATCGTCAAATAAAACTAGAATCACCACCTCGCTGTTGTTTGCCTTCACCAACCAGTCAAGTTTACCTTCATGTCCAAAATGTCATCATTTTATCCTATTAGACATTTGTGTGAAATTGTCATAATAGGATATGAATTCTTGAGTTATTGCCAACTACAATTACCACCTTGCGTTTGTACGAATCCGCCTCCTTGAGAGCAAGAGGACTCTTGAGCCAAATTTAAAGAAATTCTCTCATGGCATTGCTGAGAAACCACGTTCACGAGAATGGGATGTACGGGCGGACGGACAACTCTGCGGTGGCCGACACAGAGGTATAGAACACACACACTCACACACAAACATATATAAAGGATCAGATGACTCACACTGGCGGGGCAGAGTGAAAGGTGAAGACAAAGATGGTAAAAAGTCATGATGGATGGAAAAGAGAAGAGAGACTGGGACACTACCTTCATGACAGGTTGAGCGAAATACTTGGCGCTCCAATCACACAGGCCCGTCTGGAGCGATGCACTGATGTAGTTCCTGTGACCGCCCGGCTCGTCACCATCCTCAGCTGCCTGCAAAACACACACACACACACACACACACACACACACACACACACACACACA